GACATGTGGCTCGACCTCTTGGACCTCTGGGGTCTCTTCCGAAGCAGCCCCCGAGCTAGGCGACGAATCCACCCTCACCACATGAGGAGCGCCCGGACTATGCGGTGGGCCCATCCTCGTTGCTTGGGGAGCCTTCACCACCCTCCTGCCCCGCCTCTGGTCACAAGACAGCTTCAAGAGTCTCTCCCGTCGCCCGGCCATCGAACCTGCACAAAATAAAAAACTGGGTTAGTGTCGAGCAAATAAGCAGACAAATGACAAGCAAAGAAATTCAAGTAATAAACGACCTAGCAGACGAACAGCCTGCCTGAATGTCTGGCACTCCACGAGTGCCTTAGTATCGATCGGTCGGGCCTCAAATGTCGGATAACCCTCCTCGTCCAGGACATCTTCCCCCTCCCTCGTAGCCCACCTGGCGGGGTGGAAGCTATCAACGTACCGACAAAGAGTGTCATAAGCTTTTTCATCCTCGGAACCCATGTCGCTCGCAGAAGTATGATAATACCCAGTTCCGTGCTCGTAATGCCTAGAAATCCAATGCACGGGGAACTTGGTCGTGCGTCCCAACACCGGATACCCGTCATTGTCTAAAAGTGCCTCCCCGTCATCATCGCTTACCGGCGCTTCATCCTCGTACAGGGACTCTAAAGCGGTTGTGGTAACCGGCCTCACGACATACCACTTGTCTTTAAAACCCCGCACGGAGTCCATGTACATCTTGAATAGTCTCTTCGACTGTTTCAGGGAGACCCAGTTGTGCTTTCCTCCCCGGGACTGGCGCTGCAGATGGAAGATTCTGAAGAAGAGAGGTATAGTCGCCCCGATCCTCGGAAAACGACAGGTCAGCTCAAACGCCCGGATAAAGGCGAGCGAGTTCGGGTGTAGCTGCGACGGGGCCAGCCCCAAATGGGCGAAGACCCCCGCCTGAAAGTCGCTGAAGGGCAGCTGCAACCCAAGGTCTTTGAATGCAATTTCGTACATGGGGAAACTGTACTCGGGGAACACCGAGCAAATCCGAGCAGTGAAGGTCGGTCGCGTAACGACGAAATTCTTTTGAAAATCAGGCTGGCCGTGGCTCGCCTCAAGGACAGCGTATGGCCTCCGGCTACACCGACTATAGACCGAGGCGATTCCTCTAGGCTCGGTGCCCACCCAGTCCAACAGAGGGTCTTCTACGGTGTCGATCAAACTCACAGCCTCATCGATACTTTGTTCCTCCCTTTCGGGGCGTCCAGAAGAGCACGGCTCGTCCGCCATGGTTACCTACAGAGCACGGGAAACCAGTCAATTGGGCACGAAACCATACGCTCGTCGTAACGGGCAACCACAGAGTTTCTCTCCTCGACGCGCAGCTCCCCTAGGTAATAATGACCCTATCCTCATAGGGTGGCGGCACAGTTCCCAAAAGATACCTCGTGTGCTCGATAAACGCGCGTCGTTGAGGAATCCCTGAGCATTCCCCGCGAAGGACTTGTCCCTGAGCACGATACGGGGAAGCCCTCGAGTACCCCACGAGGAGCTGCGTCTCTGACCCGGGCACGAGGCCCCGAAACGGAAGCAACCTAAGATCAAGCCATGGCTCCTAACCCAAGGAACCACGACTTGGGGGGCTCCTGTTCTGGACTGGGCCCGACTGGCCCAATAGCATTGATAAGGCCCAATCCAAACGTACTTGCTGGGGGTCACGCCGACTAAAGGGTCGCAGTCGTGCCCGACGTGCTCCCTGGGGCTACTTGCTCGACCTCCTACTGTCCAGCTCGACCTCAGCTCGAGCACCCCTCTTAGGGCAGACTCAGTCCACTGCATTCTCAGCGGGACTCCGAAAAGACCGCGTCTCTGTCCGCCCGCACTTCACGCAGAACACCCAGGGAGGGGACCACGTGCGGGTCCCCACTACGCACGTAGAACCTGGCAGTTCCTCCATTGGGCCAAACCTGCCCAGCCCAATGAAGGAACCTTGGCCCAGCGCTGGGGGCTATAAATACCCTCTGTTTCCAGAGGGTCAGGTATTCATCATTCTACCCATACTCTTACTATTGCCTGCTCGTGCTCTTACTCACTTCAGCATCGGAGTGTCTTGCAGGTACCCCCCCCCCCCCCCACCTCGTTCAAAACTTCAGCTCGGAGCCAGCCGTGACGGTCCAAGTCTGATCATGTTAGATTAGTTTCTATAAGCCAAAACCCAAAACACAAAAGTCTAAAATATCTATTTTAGATCTAAATCAAATCTGTGTGTAACAATTTATTGAAAATATTCTGACAACCACCTACAATCTAGACTAAACTTTTCGACACAACTTGTGTCGAGCAACAACTTATTTCGACACAAGAAATTATACTTTCAACAAGAAAGTCATGTGCATAAAGACATATGATAGTGCAAAGGTTGTTTTTCAAACTTATAGTATGTGTATTTGTCACTTTCATTCAGATTAAACCAATTTAAGATAATTAAATTGTATAAAAAAATTGTGTCATCGTTTAGAAGCTTAATTAAAATCATGCAAATAATTATCTACATTTGTTTTTTTTTCATGTAACACAATTTTTTTAGGTTGTTCCATATATATTTAACCTTCCAAATTATTAAGGTCGATCTTGAGTTTTTAGAAGTCCCAGGCAAATAATAGAATTTGAGTCCTAATAAAAAATTAAACAATTAATCTTAATTTTTTTTCTTTTTTCTTTTAGAGAAAGAGAAGAGAAGGTCACATTGGCAAACTCAAAGGGAAGGACGGTGACTGTGGTTGTCATTGAAGGTGTGGCGGTGCATTGCGGTGGCTGGCGCGTGGAAAACAAAAGTTTAACGATGAAGAACTAAAAGAAAGATAGATACATGAAAATATGAAGGCGTATTTAGAAAGAATATATGAATTTTATATTAATATGGATGTCATCAAATCAATATATTAAACTAGATAGTGTTACGCAAAAACAGTTGTCGGAGATCCACTTTCACAAATGATAATGAATTATATTTAATCATAAAAGTTTGATAATAAATTATATGATTGTATGATAAATTTTTAAATATTTAATTATAAATAATATTAAAATTTATATAAAAAATTGAAATACAATTTTAAAATTCTAAATAACATTAAAAATGAAAAAATAATCTTAAGTATTATAGAGGCTCAAAAATTTAAGAAATAACATAAAGAGCTTCAAAATTTTATTAGAATTGTTATATAAACAAAAGGCAAGCTAAACTAGTTTTAAAAAAATTAAAAAAATCTTATAAATACTATATCAAATTAAATTAACTCTTATCAAATTGTTTAAAAATTTTTAATTTTAATAATTTAGTTTTCTATCTATTTAATTATATTGACTTACTAAAAAATAATACATAATTTCTTAAATTTTAATTTATTATTATAAAATAAATTTTAATAATATACTATAAAATAAAATAAAAAGTAATAAAAATAGACATAAATAATAATGTATTATATTTTATTATATAAATTTAATAATAAAATAATTTATTATATAATAGACACTTTTAAATATAAAATTAAATATAATTTTTGAAAATTTATTTTTGCAGGACTTGAACATACAACATCAAATTACAAAACCACAACTCTTACCAATAGGCTAGAGCTTCATTGTGTTACATTTTTGGCAAGCACGATATATATTATTTATAAATTATTTAACCCTTCTCCCGATTTTGAGGCTTTGGCCCAAGGTCGGATTTTCAAATCACCATTAAAAAAAACAATCTTAACATCTATTTGTTGTACATGTAAGTTATGAATTGACAAAAGCGAAATGAGTATTGTAATAGAAGTTATTTTTGTAACAATGAATAAGTGTCAAAGAAATATAAATGATCTCGTTATCTAAAACCTATGGCTACAAATCGAATCTTGTATTTCTCAACAGTTCTATCAGATTTTAATTTATTTTTCAAAATCAATTTACGACATGTAAGTTTGTAAACATGAGGGAAGTCTACTAACTGCTAAGTCTTATTAGATTCAAGAAAATGCATCTCGTAGTTAATGGACTCCTTCAATAAGTCAATATCTAGAAAAGACATAATTTCTTGGAGATTTGTCAAATCCTCTTATAAGGTACATATTGCAACGTCAGTGTATATATATTAGCATACTTATTATGTACATAACAATATAGTTTATTTTTTTATATTTTATTTGTTTTTGGATGTCTGACACGTGTTATATTTCCACTCACACATCTCTCGTACAAATAAGGTATATAATCATTCTTATGGTTCAGTGTAAATAACAAGAAAAGATACAGTTGCAATTCTAATTGTTTTCAGAACAATTTTCCGTTTTTTTTTTCCTTTCATGGATATTACCTTCGTTCTTGCTTCTGCTATGTTCAGATTTTGCTATCATCAGAATATTTATATGGTATCAGAGCTTCACCTATTACTCCACGAATTCATCGAATATGTACTACCTACATCCAAATGAGAATCCATCACTTGTTCTTGTTTCCACTCTCCTTGATTATAAGAATTATCATATTCGGGTCAGGTCCATGCATATTGCATTGATATCCAAGAACAAAGATAAGTTCATTGATGAAACACTCACGAAGCCACCCATTTCAGATCCTTTATACGCTCCATGGATTCAATGTAACACGATGGTCTTAGCTTGGATCTATCGATCGATTTCGGATTCCATTGCTAAATCTGTGGTGTGGATCAAAAGCGCAGTTGGAGTATGGAAGAACTTACAGCTCTGTTTCTCGCAATGTGACATTTTCCGCATTTCTGATATTCAGGAAGATCTGTACAAATTTTGTCAAGGTTCTCTTGATGTTTCCAATTACTTTAATCAGTTAAAGATCATGTGGGTGAACTCGAGAATTACAGACCTATACCAGCCTGTTCTTGCACCATTTCGTGCTCCTGTGGTGGTATCGAGTCAGTTCGAAAGTATCGCGATCAGGACTATGTTATTAGGTTCCTCAATGGTCTGAATGAGAAGTTCACTCACTCAAAATCTCAAATCATGATGATGCAGCCACTTCCCAATGTTGATAAGGCCTTTCCTATCGTGATTCAACAACAACGTGAAATGAATTATGCAGCCTCTGTTCTTAATCCCATTGCATCATCTACTGAAGAAGCCACTACTTTTCAAGTTAATTCAGGACAAATAAATGGCAAGGCACCTTTCAAATACAAGTCACAAGGTGGAGCTCGAGGTCAAAATCTCATTTGCACTCATTGTGGTAGAAACAATCATACAGTAGAAACATGTTTCCTCAAGCATGGCTACCCACCTGGTTTCAACGGTAAAGGTAAAACTTCTTCTTCCAATCAGTCTCTTGTGGCTTCTATTCATGCAGGTTCAGATGAATCTCCCCCAAGTCTTGGTTTTACACAAGAGCAGTACAACAATATTTTGGCTTTACTTCAATAGTCCAAACCTTCTCCTCAAGCCAACTCTATATCAACCTCACCCTTTATCCTAACTTCTCATGCCTCCAATGATCAAGGTAAAAGTCCTAACCTATGGATATTTGATATTGGTGCCACATACCATATATGTTATGATTTAACTTCTTTTCAATCATACAAAACCATAGTTTTTGTCCATGTTAGCCTACCTGATAGTTCTCAAGTAGTTGCCTCTATGTCTGGAAGCATTGTTCTATCATTTGTTTTAACCCTTCACAATGTCCTTTATATTCCTTCTTTTCATGTCAATCTCCTTTCCATTGCTAAATTAGTTAGTAGCAATGACTGTCATGTTAATTTCACTGCTAATTCATGTCAAATTCTGCAGAACCATTCCAAGGTTGTGATTGGTATAACTAATCTTTCAAGAGGATTATATATGCTTGATGCTGCCTCTCACTCTCAAGCTTTACATTCAAATTCGTTACCTCCATGTAACCTTTGGCATCTAATATTAGGTCACATTCTAATGATGGCCTGAAACATATTTCCAAAGCTTTTCCTTTTATTCCTTTTATGAATAATAATTCTCCATGTGATTCTTGCCACTTTGGTAAACAAAAGAAATTGCCTTTTTCCTAATAGTCTAACTGTTTCTAATTCCCCTTTAGAAACTTTACATGCTGATTTATGGGGACCTTTTTCAACTATTTATGTGTTGGGTCATAAATATTTCTTAACTTTGGTAGATGACTATAGTAGATACACATGGACTATCTTCCTCAAAACCAAAAACCAAACCAAAAATAGTCTCATAAAGTTTGTTACCTATATTGAGAACCAATTTCAAACATCATTAAAATGCCTTAGATCTGACAATGGCACTGAGTTTATTGCCCTTCAAGATTTTATGTCTTCCAAAGGAATTGTCCACAAAAAATCCTGTGTTGAAACACCCCAATAAAATAGGGTGGTAGAGATAAAACACCAACACATTTTGAATGTGGCCAGAACCCTGTTATTTCACTCTGTTATTCCTATGAACATGTGGAATTTTTGCATACAACATGATATCCACCTTATAAACAGACTCCCTACACCTTTATTGAAATTCAAAACTCCATATGAATTGTTACACAAACAACCTGCCATCTTAATCCATTTAAAAGTGTTTGGTTGTTTGAGTTATGCAACCACTTTACAAGCTCATAGAACAAAGTTTGACCCTATAGCTAGAAAAGCTATTTTTCTTGGTTTCAAGGAAGGCACTAAAGGCTATATCTTATATGACTTACAAAACCATAATCTTTTTGTGTCCAGACATGTAGTTTTCTATGAAACAATTTTTCCCTTTCAAAAGCATACCGTTCCTATACCTCAACCTGTTATTTCTACATCTCTTCCTACCTATGATGCCCAACCTGTTCCTACTGATAGCCCTACCCCAATAGATATGAACAACCCTTTTATTCCTTCTCCTGCACAACATCTCAGTAGTACCTTACCTCGGTCTGTTGTTACTCCTACTTTACAACTTGTACTTACTGAGTTACCTCAGTCTATTATTAACCCAAATACCCCTCCTTTACAGGATGTTCTTACTGAGTTAGATCCTTTGTCCAATCCTACATCTAGTCTCAATAGGTCAATTCCATATCTCCCTATGCAACAAACAAATGTCCCTCTCATTCCTTCCCATAATACTTCTTCTATCCACTCTCCATTACCTTATGGACAATTCAATGAATCCTCTATTGCATCTGAGTATGATAATAACATTTATGAGACAGAAAATCCCTTACCTGTTTCCAACCTTAGACACTCTACTCGAACCTCCCATCCACCTAGTTACCTAGAAGATTATCACTGCTATAACACTACACAATGTCCCTCTTCCATGCCAAACATATATGCACTTATTTATCCTTTATCTTCTGTGTTGTCCTATGATAATTGTTCACCTTCCTATAAACATTAATGTTTATCCCTATCTTCTCATGTGGAACCAAAAACCTTTAACCAAGCCAATAAACATCACTGTTAGAAAAAGGCCATGGATGCTGAGTTGCTTGCTCTTTCTGAAAACCATACTTGGGATGTGGTTGATCTCCCTCATGGTAAAACCCCTATTGGATGTAGATGGGTTTATAAAATCAAGCATAAGGCAGATGGTTCTATTGAAAGATACAAAGCCAAATTAGTCGCAAAAGGATATACACAAATGGAAGGAATTGACTATTTTGATACATTTTCTCCTGTGGCTAAAATAACTACAGTGTGTGTACTCTTATCTCTTGCTGCTGTTAAAGTATGGCACTTAGAATAACTTGATGTTAATAATGCATTTCTTTATGGTGATCTTCATGAAGAAGTGTATATGACTCTTCCTCCTGGTTTATCTGGCTATGATGCATCTAAGGTTTGCAAACTCCATAAATCTTTATATGTCCTTAAACAGTCCAGTAGGCAATGGTATTCCAAATTATCTTCCTTCCTTCTCTCACTTGTCTATACTCAATATCAAGTTGATCACTCTCTTTATGTTAAGTAGGGCAAACATAATTTCACCGCATTACTTGTTTATGTAGATGATGTGGTTTTGGCAGGTAACTCCTCATCTGAGATTCAAAAAGTCAAGCTTCTCCTTGATCAGAAATTTAGAATCAAGGACCTTGGTCAGCTGCATTTTTTTAGGATTTGAGATTGCTCGATCTCCTGCTGGCATTTTTCTCAATCAAAGTAAGTACACCCTTGAGCTTTTGGAGGATGCTGGCCTCCTTGCTGCTAAACCATTTGTTATCCCTTTTAATCCTACTGCAAAATTGTTCGTTGACGATGGCCCCGTCTTAGATGACCCCTCTTTATACCGAAGATTGATTGGAAAACTAATTTACCTTACCAATTCACAGTCTGGTATTTCGTTTGTTGTACAACACCTCAGCCAATATGTCTTCAATCCTCGTGTGCCTCACTACCAAGCTGCTACTCAAATTCTGAGATGTTTGAAGTTTGTTCTAGCTAAAGTCTTACTTTTCTCTACTACTAGCAAATTACAACTTTTTGGATTCGCTGACTCTGATTGGGCTAGGTGCCCAGATACCAGAAAATCTATTAAAGGCTATTGTGTTATGTTATGGTCGTCTTTGTTGTCCTGGAAGTCCAAAAAGCAACACACAGTTTCTAGGTCATCAATTGAGGCCGAGTATCGTGCTTTGGCAGCTGTTACATGTGAGCTTCAATGGCTAAGTTTCTTATTCCAAGACCTTCTGGTGCACTTTGACAAACCTGCTTCTATCTTTTGTGATAACAAATCTTCTATCTATTTAGCTTACAATTGTAACGCATGTTAATTTAATTAATTATTAATTAGATATTTTCGATTAATTTTGAATTATTTGTTGAAATCGTTGACATGTTGTGTTATGTTGTGAGTTGTTGACATAAGTTGCGGTGTTGTTATTAGTCGGTTAAATTGGTTGATTAATAAAATTAGTAATAATACTATAATTGTCGAATATTAATAATATTAGTAGTTGGGCTTGTTTTGGTGATAGACGTAGTATTAAGGGGGTGTGAGTATTAGGTCCAATAGAAATAATAATGCTATTGAGTTTAGTTAAATAATAGAAATTAGGTTAATTAAAAAGGTATAAGAGAAAGAGTAGAGAAAGTGATGTACGTGAGAAGTTGCGGAGAAGAGGAATAAGGAGAAGAGGAACAAGGTTAGGTTCGACTGGAAAATTATAGAGCAACCTTCGATCCAAGGTAAGGGTGGGGTTTTGACTCTATAATTGGGTATATGATTAATATTATGTGGGAGTTTTTCTGTAAAGTTGTGTAATAGCTTTGATTAATATGATTAATTGAGGTTATATGATTAATATATATGGTTAATTGTGAGAAATTGTTATCTCTGTAAAGTTGTTGTTTCAGTGAAAATTGATGTTGCTGCAAATATATATTGTTTTGGTATGAGACCTGTAATCGAAGGAAAATTTTGGATAATTTTGTGTTCGTATCAGTAACCAACTGAAATCTAGGACTGGACAACCCGTTGTACCGAGGGGCATGACGTGTGCGCCGAACGACACAGATGCACAAGGAGAGTGTGTCGGGCGGAAGGATAGGGGTGCCGATCAGAACCATGTGAAAGAGAGGTAAGTCCGAGTGGCACAACCTATGTGCCGAGGGGCACATCGTGTGTCTGCTACGTTGTTTTGTTTGTTCTCCTGTGTTCGCCTGCGTGTCTGTTACTTTAATATTTAGTTACAGAAATGGATGTAACAGAGTTAGTAAATGTTAGCAGAAAATTAGTAATAGCTGACAATATAATGATAAATTATGGCAACAGTAATTTATAAAAGTAATAGTAGTAGATATTTAGCAGGTAAGATAACTAAGTTACAAAATTAGTAACTGGTATGGTTTTAGGTACAAAGCTAGTAGCAAATAACAGAAACTGCAGTAACCAAAATATAGTGGCAGTAGAGATGATTTAAGTAGCAGGAAAATAATAGCTTCATTAATTTAGCAGAAAACTATTAATAAGGCTTATCAACAGAATAATTTAGTAGAAGTATTTTAGTAGGACCGTGTTAATAACAGTGTTGTCATGTGTAAGTTGCTCTAATGTTGTTATTATTAATTGTTGAAGTTGCAGGTGATGAATTTTGTTGTGTTGCCTCTATAATTGGAAGTTCTTAAGTTGTAGGCTTATGCCAAAGTCGTTATATGTTGATGTTGTCATTGTTGCTATTAATCATATTGTCGCATACATAGCATATCATGTTGGGAGTTGATGCTCGTTAACTTGGCCTGGATTGGCAAAATATAAATTCGAAGGTTTATGCCTTGTTGATGCCTCTATTTATTGACAGATTTTTAAGTTGGGAGTTTTGCTCCACTGGTACCACATGCATGTGCATATTAATAAGTCGCATTCCATGTTGCACATATGAGTTGTTGTGTTGATTAATTAATCGTTATATTTTGTTGATATGTTGTCGTGATTGTTGTTGCTTATAAGTTATGAAGCAGTGATTTTGCATGAACTGATTATAATATAATGTTTATCATACGTTCAATTATATTGTTAGATATCTCACCCCTTTGTTTGAATGTTACCCCGATGTTGGTAACGTGCAGGTAATCCAGAGTGAAGGCGTTTTACCTTCAATAGTTCGAGTCGATGTCATTGCTCTGATATGTAACACTCGGGGGGGGGGGGGGGGGGGATGAACACTTGCTATTTTATTGTTGTTATTATTTCAGTCGATTTAACTTTAAGTTGTTGTTCATTAAATACTTGTTATTTGAAGTTGTTTCGGTTGGATGAAGATGATATATCCTTTTAAGTTGAATATTTGATTCCGCTGCGTAGTTATGAAAGTTATTGTTTTCAAAAGATTAAGTTATGTTGTCGTTGGTTCATCCAAGTTTAATGTGTTATGTATCTGTAATGAATGTCATTGTTTTAAGTTGAAATTGTAGCATCCTGATTTAGTTGTTGAATTTTTATAACTCTGATTTTATGATAATTGTCGGGTAGAATTAGGGTGTTACAAAGTTGGTATCAGAGCAAGTCGGTTCGTCCAACCAAGTTGTCGAGTCATAGTTTTGTCTAACAATCGAGTATTATTAACTTGAGTTCTAAGCGTTATTTATGTTGTATAGATAAGTTGAGATGGTTGGAAGGCATGGTGATGCACTTGTTGCTGCTTTAGAAGCAATGGCGCATGCTATGGAGAATCATCTGAACACTGACGAGAATGTTGGATCTCGTAGTTTGGCGACCTTCCAGAGGGAGAATCCGCGTACCTTCAAGGGTAAGTATGATCCTGATGGGGCGTTAGAATGGTTGAAGGAGATTGAGAGAATCTTTCGTGTGATGGACTGCACTCCAACGCAGAAGGTTCGATATGGTACTCATATGATAGTAGTCGAGGCTGATGACTGGTGACTAGAGACTTGTCACAAATTGGAAGTTGCGAGTGAAAATGTCACTTGGGCTGTGTTTCGTAGAGAATTTCTGAGGAAGTATTTATCTGAAAACATTCGTGGTAAGAATAAAATTGAGTTCCTTGAGCTGGAGCGAGAGAGTATGTCGGTTGTTGAGTATGCTGCAAAGTTCGCTGAGTTGGCTAAGTTTTACCCGCACTATAGCGAGGCAAATGCTGAGTTTTCAAAGTGCATTAAGTTTGAGAATGGGTTGCGCCCAGAGATCAAGAAGGCAGTTGGATACCAGAAGATTCATGTCTTTGTTGATTTGATTAATAGTTACAGGATCTATGAAGAGGATAATAATGCTCACTATGAGATTATCAGTGAGAAGAGGGGTAAGCACTAACAGAATCGTGGTAAGCCTTACGATACCCCAGTTGGTAAAGGTAAACAGAAAGTTGCTCAGGGTCAGAGAACTAGTTGGGGAGATGCTTCTGCTGGTGTGGTTTGTTTTAAATGTGGAAAGCTTGGGCGTAAGAGCAATGTGTGTACTGCTGAGGTGAAGAGGTGTTTCTGTTGTGGCAAGATGGGACATGCTATATCTGAATGCGAGCATAAGGAGATGATTTTTTTCAACTATGGTGAAGAAGGACGCATTGGTAGTTAGTGTCAGAAACCAAAGAAGGTGCAAACCAGTGGAAAAGTGTTTGCTTTGGCTGAGAATTAGACGACTAATGAGGACAAACTCATCAGAGGTACATGTTTCATTAATAGTACTCCTTTAATTACTATTATTGATACCGATGCTACTCATTGCTTTATTGCTGCTGATTATGTTGAAAGATTGGGTCTTATGTTGTCTTCGTTGAATGGAGAGATGGTCGTCAATACTCCAGCTAAGGGATCGATGACTACTTCTTTTGTGTGTTTAAAGTGTCCTTTGTCGATCTTCGACTGAGACTTTGTTGTTGATTTGGTTTGTTTGCCTTTAAGTGGGTTAGATGTGATCCTAAGTATGAACTGGTTAGAGCATAACTATGTTCATATTAATTGTTATAACAAGTTTGTGAGGTTTTCTACTCCAGAAGAGGAGGAAGCTGGTCTGTTGTCGGCTAGACAGTTGAGGCAGTTGATGCAAGAAGAGGCTCAGATTTTCTTGTTGGTGATGTTTCTATTTGTCGAGAATTAAGCTATAATTGAGGAATTGCAAGTGGTGCGTGAATTTTCTGAAGTTTTCCCTGATAAAATTCCTGATGCACCGCCAGAGAAAGAAGTCGAATTTGCTATTGATCTTATACCTGGTACCAGACCTGTTTCTATGGCACCATACAAGATGTTTGCATCTGAATTGTCAGAATTAAAGAAGCAATTAGAAGAGTTACTTGAGAAGAAGTTTGTGAGACCAAGTGTATCACCGTGGAGAGCTCCAGTGTTGCTAGTAAAGAAGAAAGATGGAAGTATGAGACTTTGTATTAATTATAGACAATTGAATAAAGTGACGGTTAAGAACAAGTATCTGCTTCCAAGAATAGACGACTTGATGAATCAATTGGTGGGTGCTCGAGTGTTTAGTAAGATTAATTTGAGGTCGGGTTATCATCAGATTAAAGTGAAGGATGAAGATATCCAGAAGACAGCTTTCAGAATGCCATATGGACATTATGAGTATTCGGTGATGCCTTTCGGTGTTACTAATGCTCCGGAAGTATTCATGGAGTACATGAACCGTATCTTTCATGCTTATTTGGATCGGTTTGTAGTGGTGTTCATTGATGACATTTCTATTTACTCTAAATCAGAGGAAGAGCATGCCGAACACTTAAGAATAGTATTGCAAGTCTTGAAAGACAATAAGTTGTATATAAAGTTGTCTAAGTGTGAATTTTGGTTAAAGGAGATTAGTTTTCTTGGTCATGTTATCTCAGGTAGTGGCATTGCTATAGATCCATCTAAAGTACATGTTGTGTTACAATGGGAAACTCCAAAGTCGGCTACAAAGATTAGAAGCTTTTTGGGATTAGCTGGTTATTATAGAAGGTTTATCGAAGGTTTTTTCTAAGTTGGCACTTCCATTGACTAAGTTGACTTGTAAAGGTAGAGCTTTTGTATGGGATGTTCAATGTGGAGAAAGTTTTACAGAATTGAAGAAAAGATTGATGTCGGCTCCAATTTTGACATGACCTAATCCAGGAGAACCTTTTGTGGTATATTGTGATGCTTCTAAGATGGGTTTAGGAGGTGTGCTTATGCAGAATTAAAAGGTAGTTGCTTATGCGTCAAGGCAGTTGAGGACTCATGAGAAGAACTATCCTACGCATGATTTAGAGCTTGTTGCAGTTGTTTTTATGCTGAAGATTTGGAGACATTATCTTTATGGTTCCAGATTTGAATTATTTAGCGACCATAAGAG